AAAAAAAAAAAAAAAGAAAAAAAAGCCCTGTATTGTTTTGAAATAATGAACCGCAGTTGCAAGTCAGACAGGAAAAATACGCAAAATATACTCAACTAGGACCTCCTTTCCAACCTAAAAAATACATTATTATAAAAACGTGTGACTTATTTTTTGTAAAAATTTTACAAGTTCGAGCAAACAACTAGCAGAACCCAAACATGAAAAAAAGTTGTAGGTAGATGAACAAAAAAAAAGTTATATCTTCTCATGAAGTAACCAAACCGGTAAACTAAAAAACTGAACGCAGGAGCACATTCCGGCTAATGACTCAGCGACAAGAGCAGATTTCAGCAAAACTCAACAAGGATCTTGTCTGCAAAATCACTGCAAATTTTCCACAGCAAGTATGTTGAAAACGCCCCAATATGAACTTAGACCAACACTTGCCCAAACTGCCAGCCGTCTGTTTTACTATAATTGTGGCCCCAAAGCGACAAATATTTTCGCACCAAACTGGAAATGAATTGCCCTGTACATATATAGGCCATTCCATGCCAAATCGCGTACTTTTCCTTCATGTCTCAGATTCTCTTGAAGTTTGCTGGCTAGTAGAGTCTAGGCCAATATATAGAAAACCAAAAAAAAAACGTGGAAAAGTGAATTCTCCGCCGAGTTACACCCTCTCAAAATCGCAAAATTTGCCAGGTTGCCGCTCGACGCATCTAAATTTGCAAACTTGTAATTTAGCATGTTCTCAATGGAAATTAACAGTTTTTTACTTTTTAGGTTTTTCATATCCTAAATTTTAAATGCATGTTAATTGTTTTAATTGTGATGAAATATCACATAAATGTAGTAAAAATAATATTTCAAACGGTCATAGAAAAAAAAAAAGACGAGTCTTTAAATTTTAAAAAAAAATATGTTTCGTGTAGAATTTTTTGCTCTACAACATATCAAAATTTAGAGATGGCGATTTTTTGGTATCGAGTGCTACAAGCCAGAATGGAACGTAGAACTGGAAGAACCCATTATTTTTTAGTAATCTCATTTATTTTACATGACGAAACCGTTCTGAGCCGCTTCTGAAAGCCACAGACAGCTGCTATGAAAATTCATTTCATGTTTGAAATTTGTTGCAAAAGTTGTACTTTACTTTAAATATTGACAAATTCTTGTCCTGTAGAGTTGCAGGGAGTTTCCATTTTAGTGTTTTCTACTTCTTGTGTTTCGTAGTCTTTAGACCCTCAGAACCATGTCCATAGTGTAGCGGTTACAGTTTTGGTCGCACAAACTCAACTTGTTGTTCTTTCTCAGAAGTTATGTGGTGTGGTTCTCCAAAAACATAGAAAGTTTCAGGCGAGCCTTAACCCAACAGTTAACTAGGTGGAGCAGCAAGTTTTCAAACTTCTTCATAACTCCAAAATTTATGCTAGTGTATAATTTTGATAGAACAAGGTACGAGAATCAGAAGGCACTGAAATGAAGGCCAGTTCTCACACGCAGAACAAATAATTTGTCAATATTTTGAAGTAAAACAGAACTTTTGTAACAAGCTTCCAACGTTTAAAGCCCTACAGATTTTAGGAGCAGGTGTCTGCAGATTTAAGAAGCGGCTCCAGACGATTTCTTCATTTGAAATACGTAGAATTACTTTGAAAACAGTAAGTTCTTTTCAGTTTCACATTCCATTCCGACTCAAAACTCTCGATCAGAAAATCGCCATTACCAAAGTTGATGTTGTAGAGTACAAAGTTCTGCACAAAATGTTTCTTTTAAAAAATTTAAAGACGCTTTCTCTTTTCCATAGCTGTCTAATATATTATTTTTACTACATGTGATTTTTTATCAGAATTAAAACATTTAAAGTGCGTTTGAAAATTTAAGACATGAGAAATCCAATAAACAAAACGTTGTCAAACTCTATCAAGAAAAAACTAAATTACATGTCTGCAAAGGTAGGTACGCGTCAAACAGCAACTTAGCAAATTCTGCAGCTTTGAGGGAGTGTAACTTGCCGGAGGATTAACTTTTTCAGTTTTTTTCTGCTCTGTATACTGGCCTAGACTATTAGTCAGCATACTTTAAAAAAATCTGAGACATGAAGGAAAAGTGTGCGATTTGTCAGAGAATGACCCATGTATGTGATGATTTACGACAGGAGCAATGAAGTAGCACTTAGGCGCCGAGCATCACGACTTAATCAGGCTTTTTAGAGACAATGCGATAAAGGAACAGAACAATTTGGGATTGCTGCAAGTCGCCTACTTTCTTCGGCTCATTCAGGTAAAAATCACACCTCAGACCATTTCTTCGCTTCCTTTATCCCTACCACGTTTTTATAGAGTTCAGACTCCCTTCCAATATGCTGTTTTAATGTTTGGTCTTGTAGACTGAAGACATATCTGTAACAAATTTTGGAAGAACCCACGCTCTCTCTAGTTATAGTGTGCTCGATTTCACACAGCAACCACTATAGACGATACTATACGTACAAAAAAGGACAGAATATTTCCCTTCAATTCTTTAATTTGCTGCTATCAAATAATTACCAACAGTACGAAGCGACAATTAGTAGAATTGCTTTGTAAAGTATCCTTTTTTCACCAAGAATATGATCAAGTACGTGTTGTTCAGGTGTCGGAAAAAAACATTGATTTAAAGCAGGTAATACAGGCCCCATTTTTGTCAATCACCAGCCACTAAGCTCTCGCGCAAGAGCCGAAGGTAGTGTCCACAGAATCCGGTACTTGCTTCAATATCTGTACGCTTGACAAACTTAAAATTCAGTTTCAGATGCTCATTTATGCGTTAGTGCCAATTCGCTTAGCAATCGCTAGGAATCACAAATAAACATCAAAGGTGGAATATCAATAAAAACAGGACGTAAGAACCCTTCAAATCACTTAAACCCCACGTTCTCCCCCCCAAAAAAAACACCCCACAAGCGAACCACCTTCTACCCAAAACAAGCTATATGAAGAAACCGAAGGATCTAAAAGACAAAAACTACACAAACAGATCGCATCCGCCGACAAATTCCCTCCAAAATCACTTCACATTTCATACACGGATTTGGAGATTACGATTCAGAAGAGGACAACTCAAAAAATGTTCAGTCTAATACGCTATAAAGAATTACTTGATAACGTGCATCTCTTCAACAATATCATATTAGGATAAACTCAGTCTTCCAAGAGCACACCTTTCTGTATTAGCACAGTACCATTTTCCAAAAGCAAATTGAGTTGTAACAACTACATTTAACACTACTAACTTTTGGTTGCGACTGCAACCGGGTTCCTTCACTACAACATGCAAAAATACTCCAAAAGGTAATTAGCAACCAAAAACTTCCATCAGAAATAAATTTAATCATTTGAACAAGCCCGTTAATAAGACCTCCTCCTATGCAGTCTTACTTAAAATGCAACCCCCAATGTCTTGGTCAAAATCGTTGGTTTTATCATCTAATTTTAAAAGCCATAAAGCCGAGTAACAAGACCAAAAAAAAGACGCGATTCAACAATGAAGTAAGACTTCAACTGGGACTGTGTAAAAAAACGTTCAAGTTATAAGTAAATTCTTCGAAGGCAAACTCTGGGTCATGGCAGAGTGCGTGAACTCGCCACTACCAGAGTGTTGTAAAAGCCCTTTATGTGATGGTAATCTGAAACTTCCTGTCCGCCAACCAGGTTGATATTATCTTCTTTCATTCCTTCTTTTGGCGTTTCGTCACTCACCTAAAGCATACTGCGTCCGACTAAGTCCTTACAAGAAAGCAATACAGTAACTATGCAAAAGTGACAATACCCACAACCACACAAAAACTCACCGAAAGTTTTTGGAAAGATCCAATATCTTCAGCAAACCTTTCATTTTCTTTGTTTTCATCAATCGTTGTGAATTTCCAGACATAGTCGAGGAGTGGTTTTGGAGCAAAATAAGTAACCGACTCCCCAATAACTTTTTTATTTCTTCGGTAGACTGTATTTAAGTACCACTCTTTTGGTGTTTTGCTAAAATATCTCACTTTTGCAAAACTGTATTTTTCGAAAATAGAATAATCCCTGTAGTTGAACTTCAAAACTAACACTTTGAAGACGTTTGGATAAACATCCCTCAAAGTTGCATCGAACATTAGTTTCAATTTGAAATTTTCCATTATTGAGGCAGTAACACCAGTCATAGTGGGAGAGAATTTCATAGTATTAAAGTGCGAGAAAACCCTTCTGAAAGCTGGAAAATGAGTTAGGAAATTTCAATTTTTACTTCAGTACAGGTTTACCTTGACAAAAGATGCATCTGATGCGTGCTAATTCTTAAATAGTGCTTACAAGCTGTCAATACGACTAATCCGGTAAAAACCAAAAATACCCTATCGACTCTGTCTTCAAGGGGAGCGGTACTTTTATAGTTGCAAAACGCATCCAGTTCGTTTGCGTTTGAAACCAACTCTTAAATGAAATGCATCAAGCTCCACAATAATGGTGCTGCGGGCAGAATATTCTTGAAAAAAGTCATAAAAGTTTCTATAAAAACTTCTATAAATCTGACATTTACACGAAATAAAAAACATATAAAAGAAATAACAATGTAACCATTTGACACAATTTCACTAACGCATCTCCTCTGGAAGCGTTCAAGTCCCATTCCGAGCATAATTTCAATGGGAGTCAGACCTTCCAACCTTGGAAGCATTAAATCGTTATTGCACGCGTCCCTGAGAAACCGTGCCATCTGACTTTTGTTGTCAAAACGAACCTAAAGGAAATAAGCTATTTGGAAGCTATGAAACAATTAAAGCTTTAACAGTGCCTCATTCTCCAAGTGTTCAAAAAAAGTTCAAAAAATTTTCACCACGTGAAAAGCATACTGGAAATTACCATTGTATTTTTGTATCCATTACGAAGAGCATTGAAAATTAAACCAAGAATATCAACCAACATGCCGTAATTACGACACCCAGTCATTGCAACCCACAGACGATCAGTAAAATCCATACCATCATCATAAGCCTCCTCAGACGTTATCAACGTAGTTTGAGCTCAAAATGACAATAAAGAAACACTGATGGCACAAAAACTAATTTCACACAGTAAAATGAAAGCAGTCTCACAACCAGACAAAAATTGTCAATCTGTCGTACCAGAAGTTGGTTCACCTCGAAAAAAAAAAATAAAAAATCATAAAATAAAAAAACAAACAAAAAAATTGTTCTTAAAGGTTTTCTATAATATCTCAAAAATTACTTTTAAGTAGTTTTTTGACATTTTTAAAGACATCGGACACATCAGCTGAAAGATCAGCACCAGCGAATGACAACACTCCAGTACGCAGAGCGTGCCCTAAAGAAAGGATCAACTGAAGTTCAGACGTCCAGTCGAAATACGGAGTCCTAGAGTCCAACCAACCAGGATAAATAATCTGTAATGCCAACTTAGAAAAAAAAAAACAAGCAAACAACAATATTTCAAATGAAGATAAAACGTACCAGAGTGACAGGAGCTTGAGGAGGAGGTTTTGAAAGGAGCTCGTCAAATTTGCAGGGCCACTTAATAGTTAAATGTAGGTACGCAGACATCCTATTTTCAGAGTCGTTTTCGGTACTTGGCATTTCTGGAATGATACTGTAAGTGCAGTGAGCTGTATACGCTGCCTATAAAAAAGTAATAATTAGTACGTAAAATGATTAGTGCAAAAAGTGAAGCGAATAAAACACGAAATACAACCTCACAAGGTTGAAACAGGGCACCAACTTCTTCGACTTGGCCCCAACTTCTGCTGTCAAGTTCTGTTCCTGAACAATGCAGCAGTTACTACACAAAGTTCTTAACACTGTACTACTTTAATTTCATTATACTTAATACTGTAAGTTAAACTCGTTTTCTCTTGAAAATAATTGATCCACACATACCAAAGTATCGTATTCTGTATGAAGTGTAAACCTTATCGCTTTTGCAAACTCCCAACATAACAGTCTTCAAAACATCATGCGCGTCAACCATGATGAAAGCTGGTATGCCCGCGAGGGATTTTTCAAAAGGCCAATTATCAAAATTCAGCCTAAACAGCTACTGCTGCGAAACTAGGTCTTAATAAAAGAATCAATAAATTTAATGAGTTCAAAACTCACTTTCTTAATATGATTCCAGCTTCAGCGCTTGATAAGGGGTTACTAATGAACTGTTTCTGCAAACCTAGCAAAACATCAGGCTTAAAGCGATACTTGTCGTTCTTCTGAAAAGATATTAAGCAGTCTTTGTCACATGATGGTAGGTTACGAAGGTAAAATATCAGTTTATTGAAGTTTCTTCTGCAACGCAGAAGATGATATATTGTAGGCTGTGGTCTTCAAAGTAAATTTAGGGCTATTCTGGAAATGGAAAACTGGTAAATAAAGGCGAAACCAACTTGCAATTTTGATAAAGTGAGAAAGCTAAATTTCAGTGGAGACCCTGCATACTCGGAATTTGTGGAACCGCTCTCCTCACTAATACGACGTCCAGACTCTAACACTGACGGATCTTCAGACTGCAAGTGCAGAAAACATAAAAGCCAAAGAGTGGATGAAGACGATACAAAGAAAAACTAGCCTCAAACTTTCCTTCTAAGGTGTAACCATAGTTTATAAATTATTGTATAAATTATATCTTGCAGTAGAGTAGCTATTCATACTTAAACAATTCTAAAACGTTAACATCTGCTGCTGCAAATAGCTCTGATTATATCAAAACTCTTACAAACCCCCGTTTCATTGGAAGTCTCCTCATTGGAATCTATAATAATAACGTCTGAACCTGGCAATGTTGATATGGCACTGACATAAGGTACATCTGCTGTTTCCATTAAACGTGCTCGGTACTTGTCAAACTGAAAGTGTCTGTTTCAGTTACTACAGTTGCATTAAAAAAAAAAAAAAAAGTAGGGACCCTTACCAGGAGCGACTGGCAGTCACCATGACCCATCAATTCATGCCTTGTAATCAGTTTCATGGTGTTATGTAGTCATAAATTTTACTTCGCCTAAAACCCCTTGAAATCAATGATATTTGGATAAACAGGAAATAAGAAAACAAAGTAAGATCATGCGTTTTATTTCACACTTCCAAATTTTCAAAATACCGCTTCCAAAAACTAAACCAAAAATGAAGCAAGTCCACAGTAGTCGTGGGTGTCCTGGAAAGTCAAACTACATTTCCAGAACACAAAAGAGTTGCAGCAGAGAGTTAACCGGTCACCACTATGAAAAAATGTCTCATCTTTCTTGACCCCTACTAAGCTTTAGTTAATCAGTAACGTAAATGTTTAATTTATACGTGTACAGCTAGTTTCCCCAAGCACGAGGATGTATTTAAACTTCAAAATTTAGCGCCATTTATTTCCTGTTCAGAATAAGAGCCATTTAAAGTAGCGCACTATCAACAAATTAACTGCAGGAAACTTCTGCGTGCTAACTGCCACTTTGTAAACCGTACAGTAAGTTGGACAAATCAGTTGCGACTGGATGTGAGAGAATATTAATTCGTTCAGAAGTTCTTTTTTGTATTTCAAATGCAGAAATACTAAAAGGTGTATAACGAAACGGAAAAAAAAAATCAGTAGAAATTTTACTAGCTTATCGATGTTCTTTTAAATCGTTGGGAAGTCGGAAGTTTAGATTTTGTGGTAAGAAGTATCACATCGGAGAGCAAAAAATTGTTACTAACCGAATATGTTCAGTGCAAATGTTAAGATGTTCAGAGGAATGATTACTTATAGGAAGCAATAACGTATGTCGCCGAAAAAAGATTAGAAAAAGAAGATGAACGTCTAAAAATATTATAGTACCCATATTTTAGATTTATAGACTAGCCGAATTATTTGCAATAGCTTCTTTAGTCTTGGTTTTTATTGTATCGAACTACAAGTAGTGAGGAGCCGCTTCTATGCTCTGATATTGCATTATGTCGTTTCCATATCCGGAATAATTCCAGTTTACCGCGACTGCTATGGTGAGTTCATCATTTGCTGGGCAGTGAAAATTATTTAGACAATTACGGTAAACTTTTAGAAACTAATCTTTTTTCCCTTTTGTATTTTATACTAATATGTGTGATGACTTGAAGCTTTTTTCTGAAAGATCTTTAGAAATGACTACAACGAAAAGTAATAAGAGTAAAACATGTCTCATATTTGATCATAGTTTCATACTTTGCATCATTCAACTTAAAACGCTCCACCTAATTACCTCTTTTATAACCCTGATCATTAGCACCTTTGTTAGTCCTCTTAAAAAGATGACTGTGGGCAACGAGTACAAAACGATTACAGTAAGCGAGCAAAGTCCTATTATTACTTAATTCAAACTGTCACTTGTTATATTGACTTCATTTGCTGACCGGTCACAAAAATTGGTTTGTTGTTTTCTCCCTTAATGACGGTAGACGGGCTAATTGAGTTATCGCTCGTCAACCCTCGTATTTAGCTAACAATGTTGTATCCATTTCGTACACGGGATCGAAAGTATTAGTTTCAACTGTGACGTAAGATCTTTTTGGATTTCTCAATTAAAAAACCGGTTTGTACTCTGCGTTTGAACTGTTAATTTTTTTGAAATAATGGCATTCTGTTGAAAAGCTATTGTAATCTGCTGTAATTGATGACAAATTTATTTATATTCCACTAAATGAGTTATATCAAAAATAAAAGTGATATGGTTATGTTGAGGAATAGCGTTTTGAAATTTTTTAGTTATTATTATGAATGTGAATTATAAATATTTGCTACTTTTTTAGCGCTAAAAAAAGATTGCTTATTGCTTTTAATACTTAATTTAGGTCAGGTAGCACCTGATTATTTGCTGCGTAAATGGTGGGTTTGTATTGTATGCATAGATGTATCGCAAATGCCGAAAAACTGCTTGGAAATGCGGCGGGGAGCAAATTGATCAGTCTTTTCATCACTTGTGATAAGTGTCTGTTATAAATAAACCGACACTCTTTTCACACAGAAATTGACGGTTAATTCTTTCTTAGGACTGCGGTTGAATGTTAGACGTTGTTATGTCACAGAATACTAGAGCGTTAAACTGCTCAAGGATAATGCAAGAAATAGATTCGAAGGTAAGTCATTTAAAAAAATCAGTATGTTCTGTGTTAATTTTATCACTTACACCTATCTACGTATATCATACTTCAAGTTTTAGAAACACTTTTGGTTTAGACACATGCAGAAGTGATGGTACAGTTGTGGTGCGAACATCAGATCAAATATTTAATTTGTTTCATGGCAATTAATTCTTCGCTTTTTTCTTTTGAGTATTTTTTACATCATTTAACGCTTATAATTTCTGTACTTTCCTGGCAATATAAGTGTTTTTCTTGCAAAAGGCACCTAAGAAATGATCTATTTATTGCATTCAAAGTACGCTAAACAAATTTTCTCCAAAATGCAAGTTAGTATTCTAAAGTTCTGGCAATAAGTTGGCCATAATTTTGCTGAACGTTGTTATCAAGAGATTTGGTAAAATTTGTTTGTAGATCTCTGATCTTTTTTTCTAAAAATGGTTTTAAAGTCCTCAAGCAGTTGTGTTTGGAGTATAACAATAATGAGAGCGATGACAAATTAATTGGATGGCAATTTATTTGTATTTGCTAATGCTGACTGCTGGTGTTCTTTGTTGACTTCAAAAAGAATTAACTACTATCATTAGATGAAAAAGAGAAAGATGCTAGAAAAGTAGCCATCTTTTCTTTTATTCATTAGCCACGTAGAGATTTCGTGATTTGAATTTGTTTTCTCAACAGAAGGATCATGCAAGTAAGCTGTTCATTAATGTCGTTTATGTGCTGCGATAATGGGTATGAAGAATGCAAAATATTTTTTAAACTAATTTTCGATTTAAAGTTGAGAAAGAAGCTTCTTTAAATCTTTTTTCTTCTATTAAATTACTAATAGTAGAATTGTTATAATTTTTCCTTCTAACAAGTTTTATAGCAGATCCTCACTTTTCCGTTTAACTGACAACTGTTTATTGATTCTGCGTTTTGGACACACAGCAATTACAGTTTCATTAGTTTTTTTGTTTTATTTGTCATTGTTTCAAAATTGTCTCGTGTTATAGACATTTGAAGACGGCTATCGAAAATTCAATCTGCCTTCCTTAATAGAACAATAGTCTTCTGTTCTCGCGTATATAATAGATCATTTAATAACGCAAAAAAAGAAAGATGGGTTTTTGTCTTCAGAGATGACTGTACTGCATAGAAGTTTTTTTTGAAAACAAATAGTTTGCTGCAAATTACATAGTCGTCCTTTTGTAGATCTTTTTTTGCTGCATAATAATCAGCAGCTAGAATTGAAGAGCAGTGGTTGTTTAAGTCAGCGATCGACTGTAACGAAGATAACTATAAATAGCTTTTTTTGTGAAGGGGATCGAAGGGAGATGGGGGAGCGGGAGGGAGAAAAAGAGGTATTATTTCTGTGTTTTTTTGGTAATATAAATTTCAGTGAAAAGTTTACGTAGATAGTGTTGCTTTGAAGGATTTGTGCATTCGTTGGCTGGAAACAGAACATCGCTGTTTTACTTTGCAAACGTTTGCGATATGCTGCATATTTCTTTTTGTAAAATTTGATGAACACCGTTTAGGGGATTCAAACAGATCAAAAACGTATTATTTCGTTTTTTTTCACTCTTCTGCCCTTGAAATAGTTTGTTTACTAGTATTCTCTACCAAATACAATGACTGTCGACGATCCGTGCTGTCTTTGGGTTGAAGAGTAAGTTTTTTTTTTTTTTTTGAACTAATACTATTGAAAATATTTTTATGATAAATTAATTGAGGAAAGAAAAATGATGTTTAAATTATTGTTCTTCAATTTACCTAACATTGCCGAGATCATCAGCGGGAAAAAAGAAGAAGAAAGAGCGGATATTAGACTACAAAGCAGACCAAAAAAACTTTTATTATTTCCTTTGTGCATTTAATTAGTGAAATGTTTTCATAGATTTTGAGTTGAACTGTTTATTATATTTTTATTTTTGTTTTTTTTCGTTTATTTTCTGGTAATCAATTTGAACGTTATTTCCAGTTGCTGTATTGTTTAGAAGCGATTTTGAGATTTAAGTTTTTGAAGTGGAAATTTAGAAGTGCTTACCAGTGTTTTAGCACAATATGTTTTTTTTTTATCGTAAAACAACTTGAGCATCTTTCTGCGTTTGTTCAATTTTTTTAGAGCTTTGAAAGGCAAATTTTAATAGGTTATTCCTTTTTTTCACTTTCTCGCTAGGAAATATAACTTATTTGCTAAAGAAGCATTGAAAGAAGTTTTTACTATGGTTGATTTATGATTGTCTCATTTCCGGTTTGTATAGTCATGAAATTTTTGTGTTGATCTTTTGAAACGATTAATTTAAGGATGTCTGGTACCGGATCCATTAAAACAACCGCTAAACTAGATGAAATCTTCTGACTAACATTTTTTTTCAGCTTTTGACTTAATATTGTTGAGATTATTAGCAGACAAAAAAAAGGCGGAAAGTAGAGTACAAAGCAGAGTAGAAAAACCATTATTATCAAGACTGAATATGTAGATAAACGACAGAATTTACTTCACTTTAGCTAATAAACTTTATTTTTTCCTCAACATTGTTTTTTAAATTTTTTTTGCACTTATTTGCTAAAGTTTTTTTGTAGATTTCATCTAGCATAATTCGGTTTTTGTGTAGTGATAAAATAAAGTAGCAACTATGTACCCTATTAAACAGTAACATAGTTTTTACTTATATATATTTATTAATATTAATATTAATATCAATATATTTATATTTATATTTATAATTTATATTTGTAGTTTATGCTTATATATATGTATATAAGTGCAGGTTATGTCAGTTTAAAATACGTTGATAGAAATTGTAGACAAAGAGTGTTCATATTAGGGGATGTTATTTTGCAAAAACTTGATGCAATATGCTAGAAAATATT